CGACCACCTTGAATTTTTAAAATGAACTGTAGAGCACCATTTTAGCTTGTATTTATTAATGTTTTATTGTAAGTTATGCTTTATTTTCGGCGTTGCCGCTTGTTTGCCGCCCTGGGCCGAATGGGTAGGGCGGGATATAAATCCCAATTAAATAAATAAATAAATAAACATGGAGCTACAACAAATTTTCAGGTCTTACAAACCAGCCTGTAATGAGATGTTTTTCTCTCCCGCATAGATAGAGATTCTGGACTAGTTAGTTCAATAAGAATTAATCTATTAAAACATTTAGCCTCAGTTATCTCCGGGATCTATCTGATAAAAGTTGTGTTGCAGTTATTATTTCTGATAATACAATTGAATTAATTGCGAGTTCTGTTGTCGGAAGCAATACCAGGAAACCAGACATCAGACTTTCAGAGAGTTTTATCTTTTATTGAAAATGAAATCCTTCTCCTTATTGGATAAGATGTTAAAAATACAAGCATGAGGAATTTAAGCCAATAGATACTGAAAAAAATCAGTGCCAAAATGATAGAACTCCTACCATTTCTCAACCAATTAAACTAAGTAAAATTTTTAACAAACCTTCTTTCAGGTTATTGTTTGAAACTTCTTTTAGGAATTTTTCTAGAAACCAAAGAAATCTGGTTTGTTTATCGCATCAATACATTTTTATATATTTATGCTAAATCTATTTTAACATAAACATGCGATCATCATCTAGATAACTGATAGGTTCTTAATTATTGATTAGATAATCAAACAGGTATATTTAGTGAGAGCCAGTTTGGTGTAGTTTAGTGAGAGCCAGTTTGGTGTTGTGGTTAAGTGCGCGGACTCTAATCTGGGAGAATCGGGTTTGATTCCCCACTCCTCCACTTGCACCTGGCTGGATGACCTTGGGCAAGCCCTAGTTCTGATGAGAGCTGTTCTTGAAAAAAGAGCAGTTTCTGCCAAGAGCTCTCTCAGCCCCACCCACCTCACAGGGTGTCTGCTGTGGGGAGGAGAAGGGAAAAGGAGTTTGTAAGCCGCTCTGAGACACCTTTGGGTAGTGAAGGGCGGGGTATAAATCCAATCTCTTCTTCTTCTTCTATATCTAAGAAAACATCTGATATGTGCTCAGTATCTTTTCTAAAGCAAGATCTGAGAATCAAATTTAACTCTCTGTGAAAAGGCTAGTATTTCTGTAACTGCTTTAATTAGCTGTCAAAAGTAAAAGGAAAACCTTAGGCATTCAAAGTACACTGGTAGCTGATACTGGCAGGAATGTACACTACAAGGGAACACACACGATCAGTGAGTTAAATGATCATACATTTGAAATACTACTACAAGCCAGTTGCCACAACCTTACCCTGTCCCATCATGAGAAAAGAATGGAAGGCAGGGTGTTTTAATGTCTGGGCACAGAAGAGGCAGCGGGGGTATGACGACCCCCGCTCCCCTCCCTCAGAGGCAAGATTTTCCCACCCTTTCACAATGCGATCTTTTGGCTGATGGCTCAGCCCAAGAACCAGATGGAACGATCAGGAGCCGGCTTTAACTTAAACACTTAAAAGGCACTCAAGGCATTTTAACATTCAAAAATAACAAAGGCTATTTTTGGGCAGGAACGCACAGGAACGGAGTTCCGTCTGGCTCCTGAGTTGGCCACACCCAGCAGGAACTCATTAGCATAATAGGCCACACCCAACAGCAGAAACTCATTAGGACTGGCTATATTAGAGGTGTGTGGCCTAACATGCAAAGGAGTTCCTGCTACAAAAAAAGCCCTGGGTTTTCACCACAAACAAGGTAAACAGAATAAGGAGCAAAAGGTGGGTGTGGCTGGATGACCACACTTCTGGTAACATGGGGTTGTGGCCTAATATGCTAATGAGCTGTGCTGTCAGGGGTGTGGCCTATTATGTTAATCAGTTTCTGCTCGGCTTTTTCTACAAAAACCCCCCAAGGTATTTTATATTTAACATAAAGGGGAAAGTTCAGGTGAAATCAGGGATTGAAAATTCTGAGGTAAAACCACTACATGTACAGACTTTAGTTCTTATGTATCAGGTTAAGGAGAGTTTCTTACGCCGTTCAAAGTGACTTAAATCTTTATGTGGAGAGGCTCTTGTTCCAGTGTTTTCCCAACCACTCCAGTTCACTTTCTTTGAGTAAATTCTGGCCCTTTTGGTTTCCAGAAGGGCTGGTATCCTCTTTCCAGTACCCAAACCCCTTCTCTTCAAACACCAGTACTCGTCTTGAGGCAGTTTCTAACCACACCAGACCAGGGATCTCTGCACTCTTCAGCGCTAACTCCCTGCATGACTAGGTAGTGATTTTTCTTCTCTCTCTAGAAGATCTTTCCCCTTTCCTTGACCCGAATGGGAGTCTTCGCCTACTTCCCAAACTTCCTTGGCAAACTTTCTCCCAGTTCTCCATCTGTGTTCAACTGCTCTCAGCTAAGGCTGAAATCAGACTGTGTTCAGTCAAGGCAGAAATCTCACTGACTTCTCCTCAGTATCCAACTCTCTCCAGACTTTCTCTGCTCAGCTGATGCTAACCAATCAGGCTGCTTGGAGCAGCCTGTCACTCAAGGCTCTCTGTTTCTGTGAAGAATAAATCTTCCACAGTCCTTTCGTTGTTTGTACCGCACTTCTAAGCTTCTTAGGCCCCGTTCACACGGCGAATTTGCCGCGAGAGAGCCATGATTGGATGGCGGATTTTCCGGGCGCGATCACACCACAACATCTGGCAAGTGGGGCGTACCTGCGAGCAACCCGTGGCATGCCGCCGAAAAAGCGCGATAAAAAAAATACCTCCTCGAAGGTAGTAGCAAACGGTTTGCCACGGGCTGCCTCCGGACTCCCTTGGTGTGATCGTGCCGGTGCGGCTTTTCCCTCCAGCCGTCTTCGTTGCGGCGCACACGCCGAGGGCCGGAACCGTGGGTTGCCTCTGACCAGTGTTCCCTCTAAGCTGAGTTAGTGTGAGCTAGCTCACAGTTTTTTAGCCTCCGGCTCACACATTTTTGTCTTAGCTCAGGAAGGAGGGCTCCAGAGCAAAGTAATTTATGCAGGAGCCAAATCGCTCGCTCACAACTTAAATGCCAGTGGCTCACAAAGTAGAGTGTTTGCTCACAAGACTCCACAGCTTAGAGGGACCATTGCCTCCGACGCATCTGATTGTGTTATCACATGGCTAATTGTGGAGCCGCAAATAGCCACCACCACCCCCGCGTTTTCCGGCACATGTGACTGGGGCCTTAGAATTGCAGTCCATCACAGGAGGTTACGGTTGAAAACCAGAAACC